ATGCCTCCAAGATTCACAATACGCTTTGACGTCATCAGATCAGCTGATCGAATTTTCCCGAGGACGGTACGATTATCACGAAAAGGAACGAGAAAGTTTCATCCGGGCGTCTCTGAGAGATTATTATGGAATGCCTGTTACGACACGAGCATGTGCACTCGGCAACACAAACAACTTCCCGACGTTGAAGACGGAAATCAATGCGAAAGCCGAGTTAAAAAGAGCCACATGGCGCCGTGAAAAACTAATAGAGTTTCCTTTTGTAAAACGAACCCTCTCCCAGAACAGGCAAATGAGGTCTCCTTCAATCTACTTCGCTAAAATCCCCGACAGTAGTTAACAAAATGGAATCGTTTCATTAAGGATGTATATACTTAAACAATGCTACCATGTTGAATTTGTTATCATAGATTCCTATTATTACACCTACAACTTTTATTTGAATGATTTTTTGAAATTTTGACAAAAAAAAATTTTTCAATTTTTTCGAGNATTAATTGGACATTTCCTTCTATACTTTTTAGCACGTAGCTATTTATTATTAGCATTGTTCTTCCGACGTCTGATTTCTTTTTAATTATAGGAAATGCATTTTTCTAAGGTACATAAACGTTTGGGATTGACTGTATAGCCAATACATCCTTAAGTTCTAACACCGAACCTACTTTTTGTATTTTAACGTTTAACGTCATTGGGTATTGGTGTTTCAATCTGATACTAGCTTAAACAAAAACGAGAACTTTCACAATGTGACAAACAAATTACTTGCGCGAGAATTTAAAAAGGGTCATTCGACCGGTCGATGGTTTAGCGTTAAACATAGTGTGCGCGAGACAGTAATTATCGACGACTTTAGAACAAAGTAAGTGCATCTGAGCAGATCGGCGTGATCGTTAACGGAGGTTTCTTGGTGCATCGGCTCTAAATCAATAAATGGCGTCCTCCACGAATTATTCCACTCGAGCAGTCCCCTGAGCGTTCTCGCGATACACAGCCGGAGAGCAGCTATTGTGAAAGATAGGGCGACCGCAAGCCAGTTTCCCTGGCCGTGGCATAGACGACGAGTCTTCTGGATCGGTTTGCGAAGCAATTTGCCGTGGTGAACGACGAAACGCCACGTCGTTCAGGCTCTGTATATTTAACGATACGCACAATAATCGCATCTCCGATGGACCAGCCCCTGAAATACATTTACGTCCCGTCCAGGTAGATGATAAACTAATAACCGAGCGCCAGGGAACGCGTGACGTAACGGGAGCCACGTGTCGCTTTCCGGCGACTTGAAAATATGCACTTTAAACAAGAGAACTATAAAAAATAATTAGTTTTACTTAATCCAATAGCAACGTTATGCGCTTAACGAGTGAAGTAGAACAGCGTTTTATTTTTTATTGTTCAGAAATCAATTGCGCTGATTGAATTGCTGATAGAATTGATTAAATCGTAACGGTATCTGTTACATAAGCGAGCCAAGACGATTTTTACATTGCGTGTACTTGAAAATTAAAAAAAAAACCTCCATTTACAAATTAATAATCTGTTTTTAGCAATCGTTCAAATATCTCATTGACGAAGCACGGAAATGTGATAACGAGGCGATAAGAAGAAACAGATAATCTAACTATTACAAAAAGGCTTGACTTTAAACGGATTATCCACGGAAGTGAAGAATTAACGAGTTTTCCATAAAATTGAATATGAGTTCTATTGTACAACAGTTGCAGTGATGTATTCTCAAAGAAGATCGTATAATAAATATAACAATCCCAGAACACGAAGTAATCGCTTTCTTTTAAAATCAAACAGAATATTCTTTGTTATTTTACTGTAGCGTCAAACGAACATTCCTCGAATTTATAAGGAACAGGCAATTTAATTTTAAGGACAAGATTATTTTCTTGGAAATATTCAACGACGTACTCTCATTTCTCCTGTCGCACTTATTAGCTAACTTTTATTTTAAAGGGACAATGAACTAATCCCTTTGAAAAATACCGGACAATTTGCCAGACACATCAATGGAAGGCGGAGTGGCGTTGCATTTAAAGTACGAATCTGCAATTAGTATTAATGGAATAGCGGACAGATTGATAGTAAATAGGTACGTTCTTCTGTCATTGCATTAAGATAATGAGCGGTATCGTCCATTAATTGTCTATGATTTAGATACGATGAGACGATAAAACGTTGGCTCGAGATAAAAACGTATCGACACGATATTTCATGTTACTAATCGTTCCTACCATAATCCATGAAATTAAGTAATACAATACTGAAATTAGACACCATATTTCATAATGTTACTATCGTTTTTACCACCGGCATATATAATTCATGAAACGAAGTGCACTATAAAATACTGAACATAGAATAAATTGAAATTAGAACCAGTTGAGCGACAATTTGTTTTCCATCAGATTGCTAGTAGACAGAATCGATGGAAATGTTCACAGACGGGAAAAGGGACGCTTTACACTCGAGTGAGTCGCTCGAACGAATATCCACCAAGATATTAACGTACCCTTATGGCTATCTATGAAATCGGTCGAACGTGAAGCTCCTAATCGATGCAAACAATGATCTCGCGGCCTCACTAAATGTAACCTCGAGCATTATTACATGTTTTTTCAATAAAACGATGTTAAAATCGCTAATTTCAGCGGGATAAACTATGGAAGCCCTAAATTGCAACGTGTACGTCGCCCGTGTATTAAATCGACGCAGAGGCAAAAATGCCGACGCGTTCGACAAAGCGCAACCGTTCAACGGGCAACGTAATCGCGAGACAAACACTTTAATATCTGGAGTGAGTCATGCGCTTTCCACGAGGCATCGTTCTAAACGCAACCGAACGGGTGCGGTACGCACCAGCTAACTTGTTCAAAGACGATGTCGCTAAATCGCTGGCAATCGCTTGTAAATTAATAATCTAATTACAGGCAAGCGTCAGCTTCTCTACATGATGTTAGATATCGATAGTGAACTACCGTTTATTGTAATTTGCATATGCATGTACTTATTTCTGGGTATTGTAGTCTCTACTGGCGATTGTTCGTGAATCGAGACCATAGATAATATTTTTTTACACTATCAGCTGATCGATAGAAGGATACAAGCAGGCGATTAAACACTCCCGAATGATTCGAGCTTTTTAAACCAGGCGCATGACTACTCAAATCTTTGAACGGTGTTAACTGTAGAAGAACGAGCAAACTGCATAGACTCCATTTGTCAGAGGGATTTTAAGGAAGCATCGAGCCAGAAGGACTAAATGGGTATTCACTGAATCAGAAGAGACTGGCATTCTTCAAAACGTTGTACACGCGAAGAATACCGTAAACGTGTTCACAATTATTCTGTATAGGAAGAGGAACCTTAAGCTTAACCTGGTGCAGGAAAACAATATCTTGGGATAAGAGGCTTCTGCTAATTCGTAGCACTCACAAACGAACATTTGCTCTAAGCATTCTTGCCTGTTTGCAACGTCGACGATTCTCAAATGCGAACTTGGAACATTTCACGCGATTACTCGAATTACACTTTGTAACGAAATCTCGTGGCCCATTTTTCCCCCCTCCGCTCGCGAAAACTCGAACGTCTCTCTCTCTCTCTCTCGATAAATAGAGTCTAATTTTATGAACCCGAGAGAGAAAAATTGCTACGATCTCGGAAACTCTAGCCGGAGTCGGATAGTTCTTCGAAAGTGAAATCGGTGGAATCTTTAATTCTGAAATATCAGCCAACCATAATACCCGTGATACGCGCAAGCGATAAGGTGAGCCACGAGGGACTACTTGCAGCCAAGTAATAATTCAGCTGATAACACGTAAACATGTTCTAATGCAACGCGATGAAGACAATCCCTGTTTGTTGAGTAGGAGTAATTTCCGAAAGACAACAGGGGGTGAGTCTTATTTGTTCGTCGATAGATATTCTCTGTGAAGCCACGAGAATGGTACACATACTTTCATGAGAGTACCTATTCCTTCTTTCAATATTTACATTTGATGTTTTGAATTTCAAATCGTAAGCCACATTTCAGTGAACTGAGTGTCCATTTCATTCCAGAATTAAGATAATTCTTAATGGAGAGGCGTTGATACGTCGGCACGCTAATTACAACGCGAAGTGCAGTCGTTCTGCGAAAGGCGTGAGACACTACGTACGTAATGAAATCAGAGGCCACGACAAGCATAAACAATTCTATATTCTCTTAGGATAGATAAAACAAAAATATGTATCGCTACGAAATCACATTACGCAAAAAACGCAAAATCGACGATAAATTTGATACATGCAATGACAGTCAGTCATCAAACACTTTGATTATGATTGTGTATTACATACCATTTAAATTAACTATATAAATCTTACTTATTTAAATTAACGTTCCGAAAATATTTTTAGCTCACTATCTTTTTTATGTGCAACTTTCTTATGTAACACTATCTGTCTGCGATTGTTTAAGTCGTCCTCAAGGTAAAATTTCAATTTACACAAGATGAAGGATCAAACTGAATCAGCTGAAACGAACTCCATCGAGATCGATCGGGGTAAAATTTCGCTTCAAGGATCCGTTCGTTTTCGTGACGCGAACTAGCTACTCCGAAAAGATTGGCTAAGATTTGCCAGCTCACTTTTTATGTAGCACCGTTTTATTCGATATCTACTATCAGCAAAATCATTTTCACGTGCGAATGTTGACGGTCCTCGTACAAAAGAAAAAAATGAGCACACTAGCAATGATTGTACTTGAGAAAACGTTTCGAAAGTTCAATAAAAAATTGCATAGCGGATTTATGTTACAAATATTGTGCAGACGTATCTTTTCAATTATATTGTACCAGGCTTTATGGTAAATACTGTATCGAATAAATTGATATTTGATAACAATACTGCGATCGAGTCTCACAAGACACGAACCGCAGAAGGAAGGAAGACAGGAAACAGGATGCATAGGCATAATAAGAAAGAAAGATAAAGAAAGAGCGTCGACTTACCGAGTCGAAGTTCCCCAAAGTTGCCAGAGCCAATTTTCTTGCCGACGCGGAAGTTAGGTCCGACCATGAGTACACTCGAGGAGGTGACACTATACTTGGATGAATAATTCAATCTGGCAGCGTTTCCGCTACCACGGGAGATCCTTTTGGTCGCTTCCTGTTCGCGTTCGGCGCTACGCGCGAGCGGTAGCTGTTGTTCCCTACCGTCCCTTTTCTGCATGGTGCGAGTGTCCTCCGTCGTTGCAGAGTAATATCCGCGAACAGTCTGTTTAAAAATGTGAGAGAAAAATAGTCGATCGCACGGTGAAACGCGTAGCCAACGACTTTAGAGTCCCGGGATCGAATTTAATGACGCGAACGGTGTACGGCGTTCAATCGGGGATCGATCCCCATTCTTGACATATTTCCCTCTTTGGTCTTTCCTTGGACGGCCAACGATGGAAAAATAACACTCCAGCGGCTGCCTGGGAGGATAACGCACACACGCGGACACGCATACACAGGCACACACCGTACACGTCGAGTCGCAGGTGTCACGGTTCGTCGGTCGATGCCTTCAGGGGATCAATCCCCATGCTATCCTAACCTCGAATCTCGATCGAATGTTTACACTTAAAAAACGAAATTGGAAAAAGGCAGATTAGAGAAAGGTAGTACGCGCGTAAAACACTCACTGCTGCTGTTATCCCTCTCGTTTTTTCCCTTCCTCTTTTTTTTATAAACGGCTAGTGGTTATCACAGACGGGAGCGAGTCGTCGTTGTTGGTGTCGAGGACTGCCCTGGACGATTCCATACCAATTTTCGACCTGACTCTCTTGCCCGGCCGGCCGGGTGGTATATAGTCAACGATAAATATCGCGTTTCAGTCAATACGGCGTGCATCGCCGTGACTGTTCTCTCGCACGGGAACACACTCGGGAACCTCCATTACAAACGGCCCCGCCGCGTGCGATCGCGATCGTACTCAATCGTGGCCCGACAGTGCCGCGGCGGCACCTCTCACACCACTGCAGATGAGACTCTGCAGTTTATTCGGGAGCGCCGTCGTAGCGGCTTTGAACTCGCACCAACCAGCGAACACGCATACCAGCACATGCACTTTGCGAGCTTCGTATGTTCCGAAAGGAAAATCCGCAGTCGTGTCACTAGCGCGACCGATCGGCTATTGTATGCCCACACACTAACGTTAACTTTGCCCGAGCCCCGCCAACGTTACTCGGAACTTACAACGATCCTCAATTCGGAATTATGGTTACACGGATACGCTGTTAGATCCCTGATTGTAACCCCATCCACCGATTACACACACGCTATTTGAAAGAGCCGTCGAACGCGGACAAGCTTACGCTCCTGTCTCTCGCGCTCGACTCGACATGGGTGAGATTTGTTACGAGGCTGACAATGCTGCCAACTTAAACGAAATCAAGCCGCGTCCTCAATATCACATCGGCGCTTCCGTTTATCCTTAAATATCAATGATTTTTAACTTGTTTTCCTCGTACACGTGGTTTCTCAAGATTTCTACAAAATGTATCTTTATTCTGGAAATAATAAGATGGTTTGAGAACGATTAATATTACACTCTCCATCAGATCTACACTTGGACATTCGCTCATCAACGATAATACATACAGCATTCATTTGAATTTTCAAACAATATAGATTTGTAATTAATAGATTATTGTACTTATAAGGACTAGAATAAACGTTATTTTATGATTATTTTAAATACCTTGTGTATATGTCAATTCGTAAAATAATCATGTTGTAATGACTTGCGTATCCATAGTAACCGATTCGAATTTTACGAATTTCTGTATTCAATAAATATTTAAAGACTTTATATTAATTATTTTTGTGTATTATATTATGATACAATGGAGGATCTAGCGAATTCTGATGTTCGAATTGTATTGAACATAAGAGAAGGCAAGTCTTTTAATCGTTTATTCGTTAACCTTCGATATCTAGCAATATCGTAATAAATCGTATAATAACATTTAAATATTCATCTTGGAAACATTAGAATATTCTAAAAACTTTGCATTATTAACTGCAGGCAGAGGTTTTGAACAAATTCCAATACCTACGTTAGTTGTTGCAACTTTGAATGGTCATTCCTTGGAGACTGAGCAAATAGATTCAAATCCAAATCCTCAATATGATCATGACTTGGTTTGGGAAGTAGACAAGAGCAGAGTTCGAAAGTATGCGACATGAATACTTTTCTTACTTTTCTTTCAAACTGACGTCTGTTAATAAATTATTATTTTAACATAGAATGAGGTCTGGACAGGTCCCATTAAAACTTGAATGTTTTGCAATTAAAAGCAATAACAGCAAAGAAAAGATTGGATACCTCTTGCTTAGCTTGAGGTCTGCACAGGTTTTTAATAGAAATGAAATTATTAATGTGAAAGCTACTTGGCACAAGTTATTAGGATTAAAAAGTGAATTCAAAGCTCATAAACCTGAACTCCTTCTCGCTTTGAGCATTCATGATCATGAAGCTACAGCAATAAATTCTCAATTTGAGGTAAATATCTGATTATTTCAGTAGGTATTAATTAAAATGTAAAATTGTAATGTGAACGATTGCAGTTAAAGAATTTAGAAGAGTGTCAACAAACAAATATTAGTTCTGACAGGGTAACTCCAATTTTGCTACAAGATGAAAGACTTATACAATTAGGGCCATTAAATAATTGCCAAGAACTCTTTTTACTGAATATCACAGCTATATCTGCGACAAATATCGATTCATTATTGCCGCTTAAATATTATACAGACATGAGGAACAACCTGTATTTTTGGTGTAAAATATTAGAAAATGATGTGTATTTTAATCAGTCAAAAAAGGAATATGGAGATGTTTGGACGCTGAATGAAAAAATTGTAATCAGAATCCGAAGTTCATTGAGAGTCTTTAAGGAATATTTACAATTAAAACCATTCTTGTTCATATACTTGAAATACAAAGATAATGTAGTTGGTCAGTCAGAAATAAATTTACAACCATTGATCCCTACTAGTAATATTGAAGAGCTTTTCAAAATGTATGAAAACAATACTACTACTCTGAATCAAAGATGTTATTTATACACAAAAGATCCTGCCAAGTGTGAAGAGAGAAATCCTTTCGTTGATTTACAATTAAAATTGCAGTACGTAGGCAGAGCAGATACTGCAATGGACAGTTCTCCAATGATCAATGATTTGTTTGTCTCTAATTCGACTAAAGAATTGAAAAATAATTTTGGACAAATAGTAAGCTCTTCGTGTGGTGAATTATAAACGTTGAAAACAAGAGTTCACTGTTTGTATAACAATTTTCAGACTTGTAATGAGATAGACTGTCACAGAAATCCTGCTGGTGACTTTGGAAAATATGTTGGTGGACCTCAGATAACTTCGTTTAACTTTCCAAGCGAATGCCATAGTATAAATAGGCATGCTTTAAGTTGTGGTGCAATAAAAGATCAACCGACTAAACCCATTTGCTCAAATTCAGTTAACACACTGTTGTGTCCATCCAATACCGGTGATTATTCTAAAAGCGTAGAAGCCTATCATTGTTACTGTTTAAACATTTCACTGACTGCGATTAAAGCAACGTCTTCCAAATTAACGATACCAAACATGGAAATTCGGTAACTCCTGATAATTTAAATCATATTTTAGATCATATTATTTTATTTCATCGAGAATGTCTGAATTAAAGTACGCAATTTCTTGGATTTAGATTCCATCATCCGAAAACTGAAGTTACTTCGTCGTTTATTCCAAAACTATCGCTATCATTAGGAGAAAAAATAAAATTACATGATATACAATGCAAATTGCAATTTATCTCAGCAGTTGATGAGATCAAACAGCTACTGTTATCTTTCCCACCAAAAATTAGTATATATAAATTAGACGGAAACACTAAAATTTGTGTATCCCAAAGCATAATTGATACAAAAGAATTATTTCATTCAAATAAGGTAATATAAAAATATTAAATATGATTTTAACGATCATTATCATTACTTAATGAATGTGCTTTAGACTAAATATCAATCCAACATACCATTACATGATATGGAGCAAAATGAGATTGGTAATTTAGACGTTATATTAAACTTAGAAGATCATGGTCCATACTACAGGATTAAAAGGACTGTACCTAGTAAGTTCCAAATATTACATTTACTATTCTTGATCTACATAAGAGAAAATGATAATTAACGTAAATGCTTTTAGGTGAAAATTTAGGACCTCCGATTTTAGATGATAGTTTAGCATATAAAATAGTAGATGAGCTAGAGACTTGGAAAGAACGACAAATGGAGATATTTAAAGTTGAGGTAGGGCCACGATAAAATTCCTCATATATAACGCAAATATAATATGTATAATGTTTCCGTATGCAGCTAAAGAGAAAGGAAGATCGCCATTTAAATTTGTTGAGTCAGGAATGGCAAAAGCACAGGGAAAATTTAGAAACGAAACTTGCGTGTAGCGTTGAACAATGTAAAATGTTAGCAAACAGTTTAAACAGTGCTACAGAAGATTTGAGAACGCGGAGATTAAAAAGTCTCGAGAAGGAAACTAGATTAATTAAGGCAAACGAAGAGTTACAGTGGCGGTATGAAGTAAAGTTGCGAGAACTTCGAGAATCATTTCAAACTATGCAAGACGAACTCACGTCGAAGGTATGTAAGAATATGTGGAAGGATAGCATAGAATAAATTATATACATTGTTTTACTATGCTAGGTCAATGCTCTTGAAAAGAGAAAGACGTCTTTGGAAGCGCAAGTTGAACAATTAAGTACCGAAAACGAAAAGTTACAATCACTCGTAACGAAGCAAACTGAAGAACTGGAAGCTTATCAGAAAGGCTCCTTGACTCAGGATCAAACTGCAAATTTGCTGCAAGAATTAAAAACGCTTGAAGAAAAATTACAAAATGCGCAAGAGAGTAAAGCTTTTTTCAAAGGACAATGGGCGAAAGCAGTTCGCGAAATACATCATATGAAAACGGAAAATCAACAAGCTATAAAAGTACAAATAAAGAATAATAAAGAAGAATTACAAAACTTGGAGTATGTATATTCTATATTTTAAAAGTTAATATATTGAAAATAATACTGTAGCGCATTTCTTTTGGTTTAATACAGCCTGGAGGAAATACTTTGCACAGATTCAGCTGCTTTGACAAATGATCAAATACTATTAAACGAAATTAAAAGAAAATTGAAGTGATCAAGCCTAAAGCCTCATTTGTCGATGAGAATTACTCGTAGTATTTACACCCACTTCTATTCCAAAAATTGCGCAAAATAATAAAGGTACGTTAAAGAGTTTGGCAGAACGAAGTGAACGACTGCAAGCACTTATCGAAGAACGTGAATTTCTTCTAAAGACAGGTAGCTACACCACTGACGATACAATTATTATAAAATTAAACAATGTAATCAGATCTCTAATGATGAAGTAATATATTTTATAAATTGTACAATACTTTATAATCTTTTCTTACTATGTACATATATTGAAATAAATATATTTTACATAATTGTTTTGTGTTGTTATATACATATTTAACATGTTATATACATATTTAATAATTTAATACATTGTTGTATGTTCATTATAGTTACAAATATAAAACAATTCATATAAAAGTTTTATTTTACAACTTACATTATAAGGTGCATTTTTAATTTCTTGTTGGGAAGTGTTAGGTCAAAGCAAATCGTTTCGATCGGACATCGATCGAGTCTACAAGCCCGTTCCCAAGAATATAAAAATCTTGAATCATTGCCGATAAATTTAGAAATAATCGACCGTCCGCATTATATTTACGACCATTGATGTTCGATACTTTAAAATCTTTCATTTCTAACGCTTGGGGTTTTAATAAAACTCCAATTAACGTACCGCCGTAAGTGTCATGGAAAAATAAGGCGAACTCGTCATAACCATTCTAAAACCAAAATACAGTTATTAAAAACATTTCGCATAATGTATTTCATTCACTTGAATACTCTTCTACCAAAATTCTCACAATTCGCTCACGATGTGTACTCCACGATATTCCGAAACGGAAAGGCAGATTCGACCAATTTTCCACATAGGCAGGGCCAGGTAGCCAGAAGGATTCTTTGTTCTTCGCCCTGCTTTCTCCCCTTAAACCCCTTCAATTTTCTAAAGAATACAAAAATGGGGAGGTAGAAATGTTTATAATATGAATTAAATAAATAATAGAATTTAAAACTTCGTTACTGAATATTTCTGAGCCAATACTTACACTTCATATATTGTGAACGACTGCAAGCACTTATCGAAGAACGTGAATCTCTTCTAAAAACAGGTAGCTACACTACTGACGACACAATTATTATAAAATTAAACAATGAAATCAGATCTCTAATGATGAAGTAATTTTTTTATAAACTGTAGAATACTTTATTATCTTTTTTTACCATGTATGTATATTGAAATAAATATATTTTACATAATTTTCTGTTGTTATATACATATTTAACATGTTATATACATATTTAATAATTTAATACATTGTTGTTTCTTCATTATACTTACAAGTATAAAACAATTCGTATAAAAAAGTTTTATTTTACAACTTACATTATAAGATGCACTTCTGATTTCTTGTTGGGAAGTGTTAGGTCAAAGAAAATCGTTTCGATCGAACATCGATCGAATCTACGAGCCCGTTCCCAAGAATATAAAAGTCTTGAATCATTGCCGACAAATTTAGAACTAATCGACCGTCCGTATTACATTTACGACCATTGATGTTCAATACTTTAAAATCTTTCGTTTCTAACGCTTGGGGTTTTAATAAAACTCCAATTAACGTACCGCCGTAAGTGTCATGGAAAAATAAGGCGAATTCGTCATAACCATTCTAAAAGCAAAATACAGTTATCAAAGACATTTCGCATAATGTAATAATAATCATTCGCTTGAATACTCACTCTAAGATCCTTTAAAAAACATTGCACAGGATCAAAATCTGTAATTGGTATCTTCTGTGCCGTGTGCTTTTTGTACGGATGCCATTCAAGAATTGGATACATTTCGCTAACATCAACTGCTTGTAATTTTCTAGGAACCATATCTGACTTCAGATATATCAAGCAGTCGTATTCTGTCAGTGGTGGCCTGAACAATGGTCTAATATCCAACAGGGTATTTGTGAAAAGTTGATCTTGAAACAATTTTATAGATTGTCTAGCCAGCATTGTAATTCGATTCAAGATTAAACTGGATACTTTTTTAGTCCATATCGATTTTTGTTGATCGTAAGGAGTAGAGATAAATAACGGTGGCAATGAGTCACGAGATGATGCGAACAAAGTTTCCACGCTCATTATTTCTTCACCTAAAATATTGTATCATATCAATAGAAAATTCGTGAACAGCAGTTAATGAATACTTACTAGACATTTCACTGTTAAAGTTAACAATAATAGGATCTGTATTCCAATGGCCCCTTGCAAAGATCTCTAAGAGCCTCAGAAATGCTACTTGGGGCATTTGCGGAGGCCTGTATGGAGCAGGTGTTAAATACATCGAAGCTACAAGTAGCTCGACTACTATATCTGGTATATGAGAATCGTCTAACAGCTGTGCGGACAACCATCGTTTCGTCAAACAACAAGTAGCTCCGAAGGATGGCTGCTGAGTGTGTAATCTGACGTGCGAATAATGAAATTTAGTTGGATCCTTTCATTGAAGTATTAATTCAATAAGGAAATCAATCTTACCCATGTAAAGCGCTAGTTAACTTTGGTAGTTCGAATAACTTAATCTCCAATTCGGTCGATTCCTCGTTATCTCTATACTGCACAACTCCATTTTCACTTACTTGCTGTTTCAAGCAGGAGATTTCCTTCTGAATCGCCACTCTTAGACGAAATACAAATCCATCCTGCCAAAAATTATTCTTTATTAAATAATTATTCGTTCTGCTTCGTAACAGCGTCAGAAATATTATATACAAATAAGAACCTTATATACATCGACGTACGAATAGTTTGCATTCGTTACTAAGCTGTATTGTTTCCTCAAGCACTCTGCAATTTGTATATGAAATGCAGCTTTCGTTTTTCGAAGGGCTTCTAATTCATCCGGCCACTTTCCGCTGGTTGACAATTGTAAAGTCACCTCGAGAGGATGGGCATATTTGGGTGCTGCAGGTATACTTTCTGATAAGAACAAAGAATTGTCCCTTGCCTTGATAAATCGTTTAACGGGTCGATGTGTCGTCGCCAGAGGAGGGAAAACATCTGTATATCGAAATACAGCACTGGATCCTTGAACTCCATGTATCGACAAAGGAATATCGGTAAGAGACATTAAATTTTTTTCAAGTTCATTAAAAGCGTTGATCGCTTTCAACGCAGCTTCTTCACCCGTGCCATAAGGAAAATGTGTTATTTTTATCTTCTGTAGTCTTAGTAGTTGCTCCAACTCGTCCGCAATATACATAAATTTATTTTTAAGAATTCCTAGCTTTTTCGTTACTAAGAAAGATACTATTTTTTTACAGATCAATCTCTTTCCTGCTAGTGTTTTGCCCTTGGACCAAACTACAGCTTCACGAATAGTCCCGTCTTGAAATCGACGTAATTCTGATCGTTTACCCCAGAATCTCCTAAATTCAATTGCCTCCGGCAAATTTGCTTCGGGTCCTTTATCAACGATATTAAAACAATTTTCGGGATTCATATCTAGCCCCATAAAAATTGTCCCAATATCGTTGGGAGCATCTTCTGTACATTCCCATTCGACACTTTCGTCCTGCCGGACACATAATCGATGGACTCTGTTTGTCAGTCCTCTTCTTAACGTGTCGCAAATTAACTTGATGGTACCAGTTCGATAATTCGGACCGTAATTTAATTTATCTTGACTAGTCGAGTGGATGTCTACTATGTTTCTCAATACTCGAGCATCTTTAAACCATATAAGATGATCAAATGCCATATAAAACGGCACTTTCCGCATGAACAACGACTGGAAACTGTTTGCGTGTGCACTGTCCAAATGGTTCAAACAAATTTCTGCTTCCTTTTGTACCCAATTGTATGTAGATTTGTCCATAAACGCAGTGATGTTGTAATAACCAGTATCATCCAAGAATACACAGTCGTAATACTTGTGATAATTTTCAATTCTATTTTTTAAATCTTTGTCCTGACCCATCGTTATTCCAGATTCAGACAAGTCGACTTTTGCTAAATAATTCCACACGTTCCTGATAATCTGATAGCTGCTCATGAATGTGTTTAACTTCTTTATAGATAATAAGTATAGAACCAGCATAGTTACAACGTATCCACTGAAAGCTGCATGGCCTTTTGTCAATTCACGTTGAGTTAGCCAAATTTTTAATAAAATTATACCATCTCTTAAGTTTGGGTACTCTTTGATTATTTTCATACTTTCTGAATGGGTTTTCATTGTTAAATCGTGAAGAATAATAGAATTATAATGCGGGGTTGGCAGTAAATCTTGCTGTTTCGTATCGCTAAAGAACCATCCAGGTCTAACGTTATTCTTTTCTGGTAAGAATTTATTTAATCTAAATGTCTCCTTGTGAGCCGATACGTGTATTAATACAGTCATTTTAGTGCCCAATTTTCCATTTGGTACAATTTTTAACATTGGCCTTAAATTAGTGCCCACAAACTTTTTACTCTGAGAAATTTCATTGGTAATATTTGATGCTATATGTGCCAAATATATTGCTTTCTTTTTCATATAAATATAATTTTGGTAATCCCGTTTTTGAAACATTTTAGGAGGCATTTCAATCATTACGTCTACAGTGACGTTTGAACCAGTTGCAGCATCAAATGCGTAAGCTCCTATAACATTTATACTTGACGGCTTAACGAATTTAAATGTGCCTTTCGTTTCTTTTGGTACTTCAGGGAATGGAATGTGCACGTTTAAAATTTTGTCAAACGTACAAATCTCATTTCCCTCTGTTTCTTTAATGGATTCAATAGTTTTCTCAAAGTTTTTAAACCAAGCATCAAACATTCGTTTATATTTGTCTTTGATTTTAATTTCATTCAACGTTTCTTCTATTTGTAGCCTGAACAGATTGGAATGAAACAAGTTCTCAGTTTCTCTGAGTTGATTCAACTCTTCCACAGTCGGTGGCTTATATAAATCCTTGTTGAATTTTTTCTTCTTTTGTGGTAAACTCTCTGTGAGATTCTCAGTAACTCTTTTCCTCTTCTTACCAAACATTTTGCCCGAATATGCCTCTTCTTCAATGTCTTCATTGTTCCGATCAATATCATTGTCGTTTTCAAACATTAAACCGTCAGAATCAATTGAAATATCATCTACATCTGCCTAAAATGAACAACATTACGATTCGTTTAGCTTAGGATTGCATTCAAGATTAGACAAATATCACAAATCGTGATCGTGATACTATTACGAATACTTGCCTCGTAACGTTGTTTCATTTTTATCACTTAACTTTTCAATTATATCTTTAAACAATCTCTAAACAATCTCTAAACAATCTCTGAACAGTCTCGAAACAATCTCTAAACAACTGATTCACAGAAGTCTACAAACCATTTTACACTCCCACGTGCTCGTTTCAAACTTGTTGCAGTACGTTGTGGTCCGAGATGGAAAGGGAAATGAGGGAATTGCTGATCTCCTTGTTCGAAAATGGACACGGTTCGCTACCGCCTCTAGCGGGAATGTCAATTATTTAAGGTGAGAAGTGGACGTAGGAGAGGGAATTGCACAATGCACATTACTCCCCAATTTTTTGAATAATGGTATTCTATACAAATGACAATTTGCAATCCACGTATCAAAAGGAATATTTGGGGGAGAGGATAATATAAATATACACAGGTGACATTTGACGGGAATTTGATTTTACAATTCTGAAATTCTAATGATCTTCACTATGGAAGCCCATATTTATTCAAAAAAAGAGAACACGAAAGAAAATCCATACTAAACTAAGATTTACAGATGTAAATTGTAACATATTAAAAATGTATGTATAGTGCATTACTCATCATCGATGATACAATTAAACGTTCGCATCATTTGCGGAAGAGTTGATACTATGAACATTTTTAGCGCCGTTACGTTATAATTACAGGTATGGTATATTTATTTCCATTATTAATTAACATTTCACGATCGAATAAATAGGTAGGTTCTTGATTGATTAAAACGGAATTTATACAATTAGCACCTCCTTAAAGTTATTGGAATAAAATGTACTATAATCAAAGTGTATTTTGACAATATAACAATAGTAATCATGTTTCTCGATAATTTATTATGTAGTGACTTGAATAACATGATCAACATTTGTTCACGAAAATTACATACTGAAAAATAGAACGTGAACAAATGTTTATACGAAAATCAATGCGTTCGAATATGATAAAATTTGAAGTGATCAAATAAACAACAAAATACGCGATCGAAGAATATAAATTTCTGAACAAGTACATCGTTTCTTAGACAAAGTTATCGTTACACACTAAGCTTAATCCTTTCTAGATTATACAGATCAATATATCAATGCAATGGCCGCATTAATTTATTAAGCAAGGTAGATCCATCTCAATAATCCATTTAAACATTTTTCTAATATGTACATAATTAACGGAAGAATGTACAATTAAACTGGTCAACGATAAAATATAATACTATGATACGTACTATCATCTTAAAGCATAGTATGATCACATTAATCAGTAAATTATTAAGTGTAAAAAGTATAATTACAATAGTTCATTGCACGGTTTCAGAGCAAGTAGCATTATTTCTTTGTATACATTGATATCTATGTTGAGATATAGAGAGCTCATATATTAACTGATAATATATGAAAAGGTGTATAACTCCCCTTTTGAAAAATTCATAATTTGCCTAAATTGATAATGATATTGATCGATTGTACTAATATATAATTATAATGATTATTTTTTACCGATTTCGAAGTTGAAATAAATTAGAGAGCATTCAGTACGATTAAAAGGATACGAAAAAGAATATTTTGAGTATTATGATATGAAGATATTACACCATTACATGATTGGTCCAATTACGATCAAGCCAATTATGTACACGATTCATTCCGTTTAGTATTCGCAATTATTAGGCCCTATAAGTAGAACTATAACTTCCTTGTTACAAATCCAGGAAGATCTCAACACATTCGCTATTTTACTTCCTTGGAATTTTTTTTAAATGCAACAATATGCTAAATTGAAGTTTACATTACAATGAAATAAAAACTAAACTATTAGAATGTACCAATTTCGTTGAACATTAATATTTCAACTTAGAATAATGCTGGTAGCTGTATGTCTATAGATTCTTAATGTTAAAAGTTGCAAAAAATAGAATCTTTTAATATAGAAAAGATTTGTTTAACATTCTCGTTCATTCAATATAACTGTAAAGGTGTAGAACTATTTATAGAGCAATTCTGTGGGGACTGACATCCTTAGTCTTTATGTACATTGACGCAATCAAGTTCCGTTAATTAAATTTATTTATATTGGTAATAATTTCACCTCTAGTATACTGCAGCTTCGTCTGCAGATATAGCCAACTCTTCGTCGCTCCAATCACTAACTCCGAATCCTGATGAGCCATGAAAACTACGAGATCTCGCGACATTGCTAAAAGCAAAGTAAACGTTTTTCTGTTTTATTATATGTAATGAAAGAATAGAACTTTATACAAGACTTTAACTCAAATTTGCACAAAAAATTGCAATTCTGTATAAATATCTGTACCATTGCCTATAAAAATTGTTTCATAAATTACATTAGCTTTTATCTCGCAAATTTCGGAGCTAGTTCGAAAAAATTGTGCGAAGGTAAAAAATATCTCATTGTCAGTATGTTTCTTTTCTTTTTTAAATCATGCAGATGAAAATAAGGCACTGATTATCTAGCTATATAATGACATTTTCACGAAAATAAGCAACCAGTTTTCGTAGCTGATAGCGCTATGTCATGAATTTCATGAACTTATGCTATGAAGTAATAATGAATGATATGGATTCTCATTACTTTCATGTGTAAGGAAGGTGACACATGATTTTATTATGTGAAACTATGGGTATCCACAATATTCACATATTAATAGTGCATTGACGATGAATTAATGTGAACAACAAACAATACGAACAAGCAGCATTATCGCAATATGGTATTTGAAGAGGCTATTAAAAAATACGACATTTAAGATTACATTTGCTCAAAATATCTAAACCGCAAAATCAAACAAGTCATTTTCGTACTTGCTTGTATCGATGGTCGCTATCATTAGATTATCGATCGCTATCAGTCCTAACAACATATCGAAATAATTACTTTTTATATTAACCGAGAAATAATAATGTTTTCACTTATTTTGTTTAATTCAGTGAACGTAATTGACCTACCTCGGAGAAAAATTGGGGTTCGTGCTTTTCTTAGCCAAACCTGCCTTTCTCCTCCCTTCCATTGCTGCCTTCATCGGATCGTAACTCTTGCGCCTCTTCCAATTCTGCATTTCAACCTCCCTTGTATTTGGCGCTGCAGGTTTCTTCGTTTCTTTTGATTTTGCCTTAGATGTCTGTCGCATGAAATGTTTATAAAAGTATGGTTTCTCCAAGTACATAAATAAAGTTCTCAAAAACAAATACGTACAGCAGTATTTGTGGTTTTATTTGATCTCATGCTGAAACGACCGGAATCCGTTCTACTAATGCTTGTGGCAGATTCAGATTTCCTAGTACTCTGTGTAATTGGTTTATTCTTATTTACGTTCGTCGGTAGTTTCGTTGGTTGCGAATCCAATCTTGCTCTGCGTAAGCTGAAGGCTCGATTATACTTGGTGTTCGATATAGCACTCTGAGCGTTAGGATGACGATCGTCGCTACTTTCCGTATCGCTAGGTTGACGAATTGATTTCGACATATTTTTATGTAAGCTATGACTAGTATCTTCGTCGCTATCATTATCTGAGTCTACTAAGGGCGATCGACACACTGTTATACGAGCCGATATAGCCGATACTACGTTTTGAGTTGTTTGCAAATAATACGATGTTTCCATGTCACTGTCGCTTTCCAATTGCGGACTGCACGGTGGAGGTATTTGATTGTCGTTCTGAGCAATATTTAATTCGTTGTCAGACCACTCGTTCGCTAGCGAAAGAGTCCCACCCGTCCCATGAAAACTTGCTGAGCGTAATACAGAATTGTCATGATTCCCTCCACTATCTTCTGTACTGTGATGTTTTTTCGAATTGTCTATCAATTTCTTTCTACCTTCGGCAGCTGCTTTCATCGGATCATAACTTTTCCTTCTCTTCCAATTTTGGAATTCTACTTCTTTCGACGTTAACGTTGAATTGCTTCTACCAGAGTTTTTTTGATCTTTAATTACTTTTTGCGCAGGTCGTTGTACGACAGGTGCATGATGAGTTGACTTCGGAGCTCTCATACTAAACCTTGTACTATCAGTTCTTGATATTGATACAGCTCTTTGTTTCGCAGGCTCCAGTTTTTTCGTCGTTTCTTTACTATGTGCATTCACGTTACCGGCCCGAGATCGGTGATAGGTTTGTTGCTTGTTTGAAGGTACCGACTTTACTTCACTTTGTGCCCTTCTTCGTCTTTCTTCAGGTGTCGTATTCGGAGTCGTGTCAGATTCACAATTCAATCTATACGATACATAAAACAATGAATCGTGCATTGGTTATTCAAGCTTATTAGTTGCACTGAATATATTTTACGTACCTAGCCCTCCTTATACTAAAGGCTCGATTTAATTTAATCCCGGAAGAAGCTGAACCTAGTGAGCATTTTGCTTGCTGTTCACCAGTTTCACTGCTGCTATCAGAAACGGCGAGATACCTTTCCCTAGACGATGCTCTATCGATATCGCTGCTATTGAAACTACTACGTCGCGATGAATGGCTTTGCGGTTTTACACTTCTAATGTTTGCATTACTACATGATCTTTGGATGGTTAAATTAGGCTTAATATTCGGACTATTTTGAAGGACACTATCCGCCGTCGTACTAAGACCAACACTTCCTTCATGGTAACTTGCAGTGCTATTAGATTTCCTTAACATGTACGGGCTATGAAAAAAAGAATTCTTTATATTAAATAAAGGATTCACTAATAATTTAATTAATTATTTATACCTGTTTTCGACGCAAGTAAAATAGCCAATATTTTTGGCTTGCGGAGAACACTTGGCCAAACGTTTAGTTCTTTCCAACACCGGTGAATTAACGATTTGGCTGACCGTCTTACGAGTTACGATTGGACTGGTTGTTAATTTTGGTGTGGATGGTCTTAAACGACTTAAAACTGGACTATTGGGATATCTGACTTCATCGTCTTGGCAATATTTAGAATTACTTCTCCTGGACGTATTACCTTCTGCCACGTCAGGTATATAGTTTCTCCTACATTAAACAATCAAATTACGACAATTGTGCAATTTACATTTTTGTACGTAGAAGTGATCTATTTACCTGTCCAAGGAACTACTTCGTTTTCCTAAATGAAGGGAAGTAAAATCTTTGGACGGACTACTTAATTCTGCATTTGCATCCTCAGTCTTTGATTTATTTGAACTTAAATATTTTCGAATACTCCTTCTGTTCTCGTTGCTGTTAGCTCTCCTAAAAAGGGATTCCGATAAACTTCCTCTTCTTGCCAAAGCACTATGGACCGGTGTTCTTTGCGAACTTTGCGGAGGCGTGTTGTAACTATTACTAGTATCGTCATCTGACTCTCCACCAGAATCAATGTTCATGTCTTGGTTCGTAATTAAACCGATTCTTTCTTTTATCCGTATATACGATTCTGTATCTACGATTTTGCTCTCGTACTCCTAAAAATATTTATCGTTACATACATGCATGTTAACTATGTACTATATATGATAAATGTATCGTACATTACGATTGCGAGCTAGTCTTTGCGATTTGCTGTGAATCGGAGACGGTATTTTGGAAGGACTCAATGGAGGAGTACGACCGGTTGGCCCACCGATCGCTGGCGGAAGAGAATTATGTTCCACGATCTGAGAGGCCCATTCTGATATCCATGTGCTATTATCCCTTGAAGTGCACATCTTAAAACTATGAATACATGCTTCGCTACTATCTTCTTCGGTTAAAACGCCCACGCTAAATATTTTGTCGATGTCCATTCTTGCTTTCTCTTCGTCAGTGTAATCTTTGTGAATAGTATAGGTTCCTGCTTCGCTAACCGCACCGTCCGATTCTGTATCGACGTTGCTGACATTAAAAACTTCTATATTTGTTTCACCCGATTCATTTGGATTTAGTTCCATCGTATAACTGACGCTAGACAAGTTGCGTTCTTTCGTATGCGTGGATTTACTTCGAACGTAATTGATATTAGACACTTTTTCAGATCCATTGTCAGATGAATGTTCGTACTCATCTTCTTGATCTATGTTCTTCGTGTATAACTTTTCTTCATCGTCGTCACAATTGTTTAGTTGTACTTTACTTAAATCGTTTATAGTAGAAGATTTCGGTGACGACCAACAAGATGGAGTATTTTTCTCCGTACACCCAAGTTCTAAAGAGAGATTCTTATATGGAAGTCTTGCTTGTTTTGAATGTTCAAAGGATTTACTCATCGCATCTTGCTTGGTATGAAAATTTGATACTTTCACGTCAGACTCAGATTTTTTCAAAACGTTTAATGGTTTTAGAAATGATTTTGAACCTGCAGACATAAAATATTACAACTATAAAGACAGGTTTTAATTGTTCAATTAGATTAATTAAAATTTTCCAGTTGGCAAATAAATGTTTTACTGTCAGTCATATCAAAATCATTACTGCTAGCAACCTACATACTGTGAATATATTCAAGATACTTGAGTAGAATATTAAAAAGCATAGTGGAGATGACTCCATCATGACTCATGCCTCACACATATAGTCTTCCATTATATGCATACAATTTATACTTGAAAAGGAATTGATGATGAAGAAAAATTACCTAGTTGTTTTAATTTCTCTGATAACTGATCTGTTTTTCGTTTGGTATCATCCTCGCTACTAAAGTAGCCTTCCGAATGTGTACCAGAAACTTTTTGCTTCTGCATTAAGCTTGAAGAAACCGGAACATTTGGTTTTGTGTTTACTTCTACCTGAAAATTGTTTTTCAACTTTATCTTTACAATGTTACCCTGCATATCAGATTACGTCCTATGTATATATAAAGTTCCTACAGATACTTACTTTCGATGTAGATAAATTTCTTTTATGCCTAGCATTATATCTTTCGAACAAATTTTGATATTTAGTCGTGTCAACTTCCTTGGTACCAAAATCAATTGTGAAAGCTAAGGGAGCCTGAGACGGGTAACCATCAGTGGAATTCTCCGATGCCATTCCTGGTTGTTCAGCCTTGCGATCATTCTTTGACATTTCCTCGCTTTCTAAGGATTCTTTCTCTTTATCTTCGTCACTCTTCTCCTCTTCCTCGTTCGCAGACGCTCGATTGTTTTCCGAATTCTCTTCGTATTGTTGAGAGTTCTCGAACTGTGCGTATATAATAGTGTCATCACGGTTCCCGCTGCCGATGCTTATGCTTTTAAGGGACGACAATGAATCCTCGATCTCCTCAATATTTTCGTTGTGTTTTCGAATACCGTCATTGAACTCTGTCGAATTATTCACCGAAAGTTGCGTGTCAATCTCTTTCGATGTGCTCTTTTCTACTTCCATATTCACAGCCATTGAACATTCCAATTTTAAACATCCGTAATTAAAATTAGACCACGTTCACTACAACACTACTGTCTATTACAATTAATTCGCAAAAGCCACTCCTATAATTACATCTCACCCGCTTTGCTGTAACGTCATATAAAATCCAATATAGTACAAAATTTCTCTGACACATCCGCACAGGTGCGTTAAACACACTATACGTACGGCAACGTACGGTACGCCGTTGACATTCATGATTACCAATGCGTGTGGGGAAATGTTACCAAAGTATAAATTTCAATTAAACGATGAATGAATTGGAAACAAAGAAGAAAAGACAGGAGGAGAATTTCCCTCGTCAATGCGAAACGGTGTGCGAAATAATAATGCATGAAAATCGTAAAAAGACCATATCGCATAGATGCAAATTGGAAGTAGCGGCAGTCTTAAAATTAGACGAGTATATAAAAAGATATGAACGAAAATTCGGTGAAATATCGTCGTTATCAACTTTATCTCGGGAACAGTCAAAATTGTTGAGTCTCGTGCGTAAATTGAAGGAAGTAATCGAAAAAGAAGAACTTGATAAACAGCAAGGTAAAATATTTTTAATATTCTATTAAAACATTTATTCACTTCGCTATTTTATAGCATTTGAATTGCTTAAAACGTCTAATGAAGCGATAAAGAAAACTATTTCTACGTTTCAAGAGTCAATGCAAATGTGTAAAGAAAACATGAGAACAGAATTCGCAAAAGTCGAATGTTTAAGTACGAATCGACTTTTAAGTATTAATTATACATGTATATAACTCACCTACAAGTAAACATTTTAGAAGTACTGTAGAAAATTATTTATTTAAAACATACATTTTAAGGCAAGCTATAAGAGAAACGATGATACAGTCTTGTGACTTTTAGTAGACTTTAAAATATCTTCACTTGCTCTACGTTTAAAGGAATTTATACTAGAATTACTTGTATCATCTTTTCTCGTTACATCAGTTCGTATAATGGAATTCATTTCCCATTGCAAACTTTCAGCCACATGAAAATCGCAATGTTCTTGATATTTTGCTACAGGTATAATTTGATAACATTTGAAACATTTTTTGGAAGGGACTTCAGCTGAGTTAGGCGAAGTTCTTTTTACCAAAAAATTAGAGATATCGTTATTCTTCTTTCTTTTCGAAGTACTTGTTTTCGGTTTACTCTTTCCCTTCTGCATTCTCAATGTCACTTCTTTCTTATTGTCTTTTTTACTTTGTGCCTTCATGTACAATTTTGCTTCCTCTTGCAAAACTACAGGCAATAGAGCAACTACATTCGGGTCAATATTATTGAGATCAGGAAATATCTCTTGTAATTTGACAATACTCTGCGCATTCATTATTTCGTTACATGTACTTGAAGATGCAGGTCTTTCTTCAATTTCAATATTTGTGTCATTTGTTTCTACATTCCTATCTAATTCTTTGTCTTCTATGTCGTTTTCATTCAAGTCCTTGCTTTCGACATTTACTTCAATTACTTCAGTATCATTCATCCATGTATCTTTTGATTTATCATCTTTCTGGTTAAAAGCATTCATAAAAAATGATTCCTTAAAATCACTTTGTTCGAAGGAATCGTTCAGAGGACTATTTACTATCTTTTCAAATTGTTTCCTCTTGTTGCGTTTGTTCATCGAATTGATCAACTTGTTTAATCGCCTGGAAGTAGGTGACCAATCTGTCTCCGAATTAGGAACTTGTTCACTTAGCTGCATATTAATTACAGAATTCTGTTCAGTCTCTGATTTACTCGTCGAAGCGCTATTTACATCATCAGTATTAACTTCAGTACTTTCTAGATTCTTCGTCACTGTATGTGTAACTGTCTTCGAATGTTCTACATCGTTCGACTTAAAAAAGTTCCTGAAATTTTCGCTACCTTTGGCTGGGACAAATTTACCAGCTGATATGCCCAAATATGCGATAGGACAGTCGGTCGATTTAGATACAATCTCCACGCAGCGATTTGCCATCATTTCCGGTTTATATGAATTTAAAGTATACGAGCGTGATTGAGACACAGTAGTCTTATTCTGATAGTAATGATAACAGACTACTACTAAGGTTGCGCGACGTTCATTTTCCGTACGATCCTTTTCAAGACGTTCGCAAACTTCTGCCGACAACTCACCAGCCCAATGTCTTAACTATAAAAAAGATTATTTTATACATTGCTACAATTATTATTTAAGCAAAGATTACTGTCATTTTACCACGTCTGATGAAGTAATAGCTTGTCTTCCAGGGAACTTTTTACACGCTCCAATTGATTTTGACACAAGTCGCGTAGTAACGGGCTCGTTATCTATTCCACGAGCAATATTATACAACCATAATCTAAAAATTTCAACGTGATTTAATTTCTTAAAGTAATGTCTTCTTATAAATTATGGGAACTTTCAACGTACCCCGTTTTTTCGTCAAAACGTTTTTGCAAATATTGCAATGAGTATTGCAATAAGTCACCCATAACATTACAATTGAGAGATTCAACAACAATATCACCAAACTTTCCTCCGAGATTCCTGACTTTCTTCACAGGTAACGACGAATACAATATTGATACTTCGTTCGGAGGTAATATAGTTTGTCTGTTTGGTTTATGTAATCCGCATGCCAATTTGGCCAATATCTTATTCTGTGAAATGCCAGCGGAGCATCTAAATCCTGTTTTATCGAATATGTCAGCCCTTATCTCCTCAACTATTAGCCCTGCTACGGCAAGTTTCTGAACTTGAACATCTTGCAATTCTTCGAATATGTTTTTTATCCACGTCCTTGTGCCTTTGCTTCTTTCTTCTAAAGACATACAACTTTCTTATGTAATAAATTTATTTGCAAATGTAAGAGTTCATAATTGAGTTCTTTACCTTCGTCATTACTTCCAATTTCGGAATATCCAACAATAAATGTGTTGGACAACTGCGTTAATAAACATCCAGAGGAAATGAGATTTGCAGACATTCTTTTCTCAACTATGTCAGTAATATCTAAATATGCTTCATCCACACTAGCGCGTTCTATTATATTACAATGTTTCCTTATCACCTCAATAACATCACGACCTGCACTTCTATACCTGCATGGGCGTTTATAATTTCTTTAAAATTATTCAACGCTCGAAATGATTTATTCATTGATCATTTTAATGTACCTTGATGTATCAGCTTTTCCACGAAGGCAAGGCACGCTAGCTAGAAGAAGATCTGGGCATTTTTTCTTTGCTTCTTCACCTCTCATGTGCCTCGTAACACCGTATTCTCTTGCTTCGTAGTTGACTGCAATGATTCTATTAAAAGATTTTTGTCAACTTTAATTGGTATATGAATTTAGAATTACATATATGATTGTGATTTGTATCAAATGCATTAGCTTACCCTCCTAATTGCCATTGATTGTATTGCACAACAGCAAGTGGTTTGCCAGCATATTCTGGTTTAAGTTTTGTTTCGACTTGGCAAAAGAAGCAATCCATGTCGATTAGAACCACTATTCTGTTATTATTTGACGCAGTCATTTCCAAAATCTTGTTAAAGTAAAAGGTGTGATAGTATAAGAGGGTTAATCAATTAAAAACACTTTAATTCACAGTTTACTCCTTCATCGATAAACGATTTGTCAGACATCTTACGATTTATGAATAAAACGTAATGAAATTTGTAATATCCATTGTACATAATTAAGTACATGGGAACGATAATAACTGTAAAATACGAATTAATAAGTAATTTAAACCACTCAACTTATATTACATTATAACTAGATTGTGTTCCTAAACTTATCCTCTATCGTAAAAATTGGCTATAATTTGCAACCGTCTTCAATCACTATTTATTACTAGTCAGACAAAACGTTAATTCGATCAAATTATAATTGTATGGCTTATTCTATAATTAATACTTGTTGATGACAATTTGGAATTACATATTTTTCTAGTCTTTTCAGGCGCTAGTGCAACCAAAATTTATTATGTTGCATGCATCAAGCATTACATTTACGAACATAAAATACACATATAGACATGTGTAACATATGAAGAATTATTGAAAATTCCGATTACAGATGCCTGTCAAGTTTCGGAACGCGACAATTGCTGCAAATACGCGTTTCTTCGCAAAGTTATAGATATTCATTGTTTTATTTACACGCTACCCTTACGTGCTATCGAGCAGCAACAGCTCTGTGACAATGCCAAGTAAAAAGAAAAAATATAATGCACGTTTTCCAGCAGTGAGTATTATTAAAATACTCTTGTACAGTTCGCAAAGATTTCTCAATTGAAAAATACTAAACATTAGCTGTATTGTACACCCTCGTAATCTTTACGAAAATGATGAAATTTAATCATTCTTAAGTCGCAATGAAACATGAAATCGACGAAAATAATTGTACACAATTTATTCAGTTATTATGTACATCTGTAACCTATTCTTATTTTCAATACGTTTAGGGCAGAATAAAAAAGATTATGCAAACCGACGAAGAAGTTGGGAAAGTTGCACAAGCGGTGCCGATTATAATTTATATCCTTTTCAAATGACAGCATGATGATATTATTTTTTAAATCTTATTTATCTATTTCATAAATATCGAATTACGTTCCTTAACTGTTTGTATACCTAGAACATTAGAGCTGTTTGTACATTCCTTACTTACGAAAGCAATGGAAATAACATGTGCCAAAAATGCCAAGACACTGAGTCCATCTCATATGTAAGTCAGTTCTCAAGCATGTTTATATATTAGGTTTTGACATACTTTATTGGATCATATATTTCTATTTAGGAAGCAGTGTATTTTGTCAGAAAGTCGGTTTGACTTTCTGAAAGATTTAGTCAAATCTCTACCAGATGTGTCAGGTCCTGATGAGGATGTACCTACGCCACCATTGACACCTGCTCCAATAAATACAAATATCCCAAACGTATCTATAATGCGTTATCCATCAGAGTAAGTATTAAATGTGTTATTCTGTATTTGAGAATCTTGATTATGTTATATGTTACAGAATTCCAAAACAACAAACGATGAACGAGGTGAATGTAAAAGAGGAAAGTGTAAAAGACAATGGTGGAGCAGGAATATGTAATTCAACCGCTGTTAATGAAATGACGACGGTGCCTCAGGTTCCAAAGTTTCAAATTTCTGTGCCACCATCATTTCAAATTAGTCAACCAAACTTTTATACGGAAGTTAATCCTATGAACTTGAGTACAAATACGCCGGGTGTAAATACGAACAATCAACCAACGTCAAATTTTGCTCATACTGCCAATCTAGACGAAGATTATGATACATAGTTAGTTTTCGTCGACTAATATTTAGACGTACGAATTTATATGTAAAACAGTAGTACAAGTGTTTAAACTAAAATGTTGTCACAAAGTTTCTGTTCAGACTGTTTGATATATCAAACGTAGTTGTCTGTTACTACGAGCAATTTACGATTACTTGGATAATTTAGTTACTTATGTCTCGGCTATTATGAATTGTTTTTATATTTTTATATTTGTAGTGTCGCAGTACAGGTTTTTTCAGGCTGGTTAAAGAATTATGTTTGATACTTAAAAGTACTTCGTATTGCTGTACTCAAAGGCACACATATTTGTTCTCTTCTTATTGGATCGATCTATATTCACGATTTAAAATAAATGTGAATATGAGGATCCACGGAATTGTTGTGTGCTTCAAATCGTAAGATACGATTTTAATTTATAAGCGATGTATTTACCTAGAGTTTACTATATTTATGATTGTACATTGCATATTGACGTTTTAACTATTAAGGATGACGTAGTTTAGATTATGTTTTGTAATAAACAAATATTTTTGCAACTTACATATATTAATATTCACGCAATGTCAACAAGCAGTGAGCTCTACGATTAAGATATCTTTAATTGCGAACGACTTTTATAAAGAATAATTAATGTTTATTTAAAATTACGTTTAATGCTTTGACATGTGTATATAAATAATGCACATAATATTTTCTTAGTACATTATGATAAATAATTGTAAAAATTGTTTATAAGAAATACATTATACTATTTTGACAGTCCTACGTATTCTTTCCATTTCTCGTTTCCGTTGGGCATGTCCTGATCTACATGGACCTGATTGCATGATTTTGCATGATTGTTGCACCCTCGCCACCCCGTTACGTATTTCGGCATTACCGCTATAATGCGTCCTTTAGGTCTATGAGCCCATCATGAGGAGCCGATTTTTTACTCATTAGTTATCACCTCTAACGCTGTACGTCCGTACCGTACCCATATTTCGAGGGGAGTAATGGTAGTGAGAGAGAGATTTCCGCATTATCTTGATCAAAAAGTATGCACATACGTTCTCATTCTCATTCTCACCCCATTTACATACCATTACTCCCCACAAAATACGAGTACGGTTTGGACTCTCGCCGTCAGAGGCAGTAGCTTATGACAATCAAAAATCACGGCTCATATAGAGAATCTCCCTCCTCATCTTTGGTTGGTTGTCTCTGGTTGAAAGCTCGAGCTCGGAAAAGCTTTTCGTCCATCATTTAGCACACTTCAAGTGAGAAGATACATTCTTACTCACACAATGTATGCAGTATATTATTTGCAAGTAATTTTCATCAATTCCGAACGTTAAGTTCATAATTATTATAATTATTCATGAGAGTTTGACGAGGAATTCAAAAGTAATAAATTGAAACAAGTTCCGTGAACCACTCGAGTGAGATCTATATAATGCCTACATGCATTGTTTAATATCAACAATCTTTCCACAAAAATTTGAAGTTTGATCAGCTATCGTGCTTTTTTACGACAGACTTCGGAGAAATGTGGTTGTGCTGAAATCTGAATCCCTTAGGTAATAAAATAATTAATATTTTTCCTATTTAGCAGAACCTTTGACCTGATGATTCATGTCACACATTTTTTCTTTTATTGTGAAGTGTATTCGTTCTTTGCTCCTTACTCATTGTCCCATAACGTTTCGAATAAATATTTTCCAGTATCTCGAGTACCATGCATTTCAGTTTTGCCTGCATTTACAGAATCCAATCAGCTTGATTCATAGTATTATTTACAAGTACTTTAACCCTTTGCCTTATTGTTTGTCGACTACGATAGCATCAAATTTTTACGAATTGCTGTGTTGTTATTAGAAAACTTCCGTTGCTACGTGTTGTTCTAATATGATTTGAAATAAACAGCATGCAATTATCAATCGTTAACATGTAATTTTTTAATCCCTGGTTCAATACGCTCTGACACTTAATGTACCTCGTTTGTGTAATATGAATAACCGAAATAATCAGATGCAAAGTTAAGCAGTGACTATTTTTTTTTGTTTTATTTTTGTAGCTACTTGCTTAGTGTAGACTCGAGTATATAGCATACGTATTTGCTTATTAGGTGCGTTGGAACATAGGTAGTGCCGCTGTTCGCCTCTTCAAGTACAGGTATCTGTATGATGTTTTCATCAGGTCTCAGCTGCAATCTATCCTTCCCCAGTTGCCTGGGCCATTCGCAGGACAACGAAGAATTGTTACCAAAAATGGCCAGAGAGCCAATAATTCTTAATGTTTACGATATGGTAAGAATACTGATTTCTCTCCTTTCTTTCTCCGTTCTTGTTCATGTACCTTTTAAATAAGACACTTATTTGTTCCAGTATTGGATAAATGAGTACACTACACCGATTGGATTGGGTGTATTTCATTCAGGAGTTGAAATTTATGGAACAGGTACGATCGTAAAAAATTGTTACAAATTGCTTTAAAAAGGATCATCAATAAATGATATTATTCTTTCATAGAATACGCGTATGGAGGGCATTCAAAACCGATCTCTGGAATTTTTGAGATAACACCAAGAGTTGCCGAGGAGTTAGGGGAGCAGTTTAGGTATAGGCAATCAGTACACATTGGATATACAGATTTCACGGAAGAAGATGTATGCAGAATTGTTGCCGAATTAGGAAAAGATTTTAGGGGCGATCGTTACCATTTAATGAACAAGAATTGCAACCATTTTAGTAGTCAACTTACCATGGTATGTACTCTAAATATATACACATTACCGTTCTACATCGTATGATGTATATTTTTAACAGGACTTATATTACAGATTTTATGTGGTCAAGAAATCCCAGGGTGGGTAAATCGCCTCGCGTATTTCAGTTCTTGTGTACCATTCCTTCAACGTTGCCTACCGAAAGAGTGGTTGACACCTGACGCGCTGCAATACTCGTTGATTCAAGCCAGTCACGAAAGTACACCAACAGAAAGTACGTCTTCCGACACTTCATTGTAACATTCGGCCAATCTGACGAAACGGGGAGAGTACGAATGTGAATACGGACGGAGTTACGGATTAGATTGTCGTAGGAGATACACCTTTTAGAGAGTTTACGCGCAAAGGAAGTTTATCATGACATTAAACTACGTATATCGCCAGGATCGCGAGGAATCCGAGAAACAAAACCGTCAAAACGAGGTACAAATTTAAATAAATTGTACTCCCGAATTCCATTGGTGATTTAATCATACTGGAAAAATGCCTTTCTTGCAACGTGTCGTTTCCTCAATTTTGGACGGCAGTATAAAATGTCGTGAGTTCTCTATTGTATTACGCAGTTAAAATCGACGAGTAAATACGTAAATTAAAATAGAAGATAATTTCGTATAAATCAAAGGTGTGAAGAGACTGGAATGTAATTTATTTAGCGGTCACAAAAAAATATCTTTGTAAGGATTTATTTACCTATAATCATTTCCGTTTTCGATTGTATTCGCGGGAATTAGTATTTATATTTAAATTATTCACGATATTCATTCAATCTCGATTTTCAATGCGTTCGTTAAAGCTGGTTAGCTT